ACTTTATTAGCAAAGAAGTATAAAAACTTCTTGCGAACATCTTTTTTGTATATGGTCAGAGAATCAGTGGAAAGAGTTTTATGTTTTTTTAGTTGGCAAACTAACTTTATGATTATATAATTAAAATTTATTATTATTATTTTTTTTTTAAATTACAACTGATATTAAATGTTAGTTTTATTAAGAATTAACATAACATTTGAGGAATAACTAAATTCATAGTATGATATCAATCATCCTATACAAACTATATATTTCTATATATATGCAGATTAATCATAACCTATCACAGTTTGTTCAAGTTAAACCAGCTACCACTTCTTGAGTAGACAGACCTAACTAGAGATTAAATAATTAATATACAGTTATCAATGACATGACTAGGCTAGTTAGTATTGAGCTTGTAATTTTTTGTTTTATTATTATTTCACTAAGCTAATTCTTTTCATATGTATTCAATAGAATATTTTATATCCTCCTATTTTCCCAGATATTATTTGCTTAGACCTTGAAAGGAGACATGTTATCTTCTTTATTATCACCTATAGTATTAAATAAGTCCTATTAACTAATTTTCAATTAAGCGGAGCATCAGATTGAAATATCCTGAGCTAGAAAAGTAGAATTCTGGAGACTGTCAAGGCAAGAGATCTAGGGATATCTATAGTAGGCTAAACCAAAAGCCTTTCTTTATACAATCCTTCTAGTAATATGACCATAAATTCTAGTCCTTGATTAACGAAAGGTCAGAAGTCCCATTTTTCTGTAACCTAATTTGATTGGATCTTGTTTTGGATAATTGGGTATGACTTTCACAGGATAACTAATAAAACCTGATCAGAAGATAATTTTGATTTTTGATATTGAACTACAGATCTTATGATTGCGATCTGAAAGCATTATCATTATACTATTGACCCACAGGTCTTTATATAAGTAAAAATTATATTATAATAATATATTAAATCATTTTAATAAACTATAAGAGACCTGTGGATCAATAATGCAGTAGATGCACTCCCAGGTTACCATCTATGAGCTACCAGTTCAATCCCACTCATAACAGTTCTCATAATATAGGTTATGTTATCCAAGATGCATGCTCAAAAACCACATGCATTCCTGTACACAATGACATATCAGATTTCACTGCTTGACCATAGTATCATAAATCAGGTCATATAGGTTATAGCTGGTTTTAGTACTTAACTATAACAATAACATTGTGCCGATTGGAATATATTAAGACTAAAGAAAGAAACCAATTGGTTTATCCTGATGATCTAGATGCCAATATTTACCTCTTCTCAAAAAACTCACTTGTGAAAGACTGGAAGACCTCGATCACTTGCACTAGTTAAAAGAGTAATAGGTCAGATACATATTGGAAGACATGCATTGTTGATCCCTAATGGCTATCAGAAAAGGATGATCTATTCAACCAAGGTCAAATGATGTTGAATCAAGATTCACAATGGAAAAATACAAGGGTAGACCCTGGGAGAAAAAATTCAGAAACAATCATTAAGGTAACCAATCCAATAGGAGAAGCAATCCACTATGAAGTAATCAAGAGAAATCACTGAAAGATCATATTTGAAGAGTAGTTAAAAATGATTAAATGGAAGATAAAAAAGAACATGGTGTATCATTCAATCACTGAAATCTCACATTAAATCATAGGTTTGGATAATAGTTAGTAATCCTAGCAGTCTAAATACAATACGATACTTGCATTGGAACATAAAAACAAAGTTCAATACCCTCACAATGATAATAAATCCCAGCCCCTTGATAATAAATAATAATACAAGTCTATGATGAATCCCTGCGAACATCATTGCCTGGGCAGAGTAGAGCATATTGATATAATAGTACCTTGTAGATAAAATTAAGTAGGTTTATAAGATATGAGATTAGATAATATTAAAATTAGTTATACAAATTGCTCATATAATCCTATGTACTGTTCAATCTTGACTCTAATAAACTTTGTCAGTTATGATTTTTTTTAAAAAAAAAATAAACTATAGGCAAGATTACATAAAAAATTTTTTTTTTTTTTTTTTTTTGTCCTTTGTCGGGCTAGTTACATATACTTTATTAAATATTTGTAAACTACATATAACATGAGGTGCTAAAGCTAATTCTTTAACCAACTCATTTGTCTTGGTTGTTTTATTTTTCTAAGTGCAACTTTGGAAGTAATTTATCACTCTGTTAGGAGTTCAGGTAAATATCCTTCCAACTTCTAACATTATTGCCTGCAGATCACTACTACAGATTATTCTTTTGAGTTCTAACAGAGATTAAAATCCAACCATTTCATCACATACTTTACCTTATCTCACAGGGCCTGTTTGAGTATCATATTTTCTATTTCTTCTTCCTTTAATGATATTTGATATGACCAATTTCTTAGTACCTTGGCCCTGTTTCTTTGTCTTTGTAGATATGTTAGTCTTTTGATCTTGTCCCTTCTATTGATTTCCAATATCTGTTTTCACTCTATCATCTTTTTGTATTTAACATTTAAATTTTCTTTCTAAAGTGATTACATGTTTATGTAAAAAATATTTTTTATTAATGATTAAAATACTATTAACTTAATAAAGTTTCGAGAAAATTAATGATTTTAAAAATATATATAAAAAAAATATACATAATAAATTTTATAAATTTTTATAAATTTTTATTAAGTAAATTGATATTTTTCAATTAATAAAAAATGGTTGTTTTGTAATTTTAAACAAAGTTTAATAGAATATCTTTATATGTTTTTCTAATAATTTATTAATATTAATGTTTATTATATTAAAAAATTTTATAAATTTTATATTTTTTTAATATTTTATATTTTAAAAAAAAAAGATAATTTCTTAATAATTTAAATATATATAAGATAAATATTAATATTTTAATAAAAAAATTTGAAATAAAATTAATTGGTAAAAAATGTTTTTATAGTAAAAAATTTGATTGCCATTATATTTTAATTCAATTATATGTTACTAAAAATAAATTAATTAATCGGGAATTTTTTGAGATAGATTTTTTGATCAAAATTTATACATTATGTTCTTATTTTTAGTTATTAAATCATTTATATCCTTAATTTCATATATCAAATTGATTTTTGGTTATAAAATTGATTTTCAGTTATAAAAAAAATTGATTTTTGGTTATAAAATTAACTTTTAATTATAAAAATTGACTTTTGGTTATAAATTAACTTTTGATTATAAAATTTTAACTTTTGATTATAAAATTATATTTTATAACCTAAAGTCTAGAGAAGATATAATTTATTTTCAATTATAAAATATAATATTAAACTTTAGGGACCCATCATTAATTATAACTAAACTAAATCTTATGTTGACTAACTCATCAACAGTTTTCAATTTTTAAATAAACTTTAGTATCTAAATGTAACCTTGAAAACAATATTTCACCCTGAAATAAGTTTTAGGTAAAGACATTTTCTTCTATCAATTTTCTCCTTTCTTATTTTTAACTTAACAATTTATTGATTTTCAGATTAATCAATAGTAACAAATTGTTGGCAATGATTCTGGTAGATAAAGATCATTATCAATCTATCAAGAAATTATAATATTGTCCATGCCTTATTAGATTCATGGTCCCTAGTAAGGAAAGATCCACGGCCTATATCCTAGCTCGAACTGGTTTCCAGGCCCAGTATAACAAAAAACCTGATTTTTCTAATCAAACCATCACATACACCACCATATTATCCTAGTAAGCACCCTTACTGATCAATAGTAAACTAGTAGCTAGATATTATTTACCTTTTTTCTCTTTCTCTATGTGAGTTTTCAGAGTTTGTAAGGATTTACCTATATGGGTAGCTATAATTATTCATGTAATAATTACTAGTGTTGATTAATGTACTTAATGCTATTCGCAAAAAAAAAAACAAAAAAGAAATTATAATATTGTCTTTAATTATTTTAATAATAATTTATTTCAAATATAATAAAATTCTTTAAATATTTTATAATTAATTTTTTTTTCTTTAAAAACTTTCTTATTATTAGTAATAAAGATATTACTTGACTCATTTTAATTATCAGATCAAATTTTTAATCAAAAAGATTTATAAACAAGAAAAAAAAAATAGAAATAATTCTTTTTAAATTATTTTTAAAAAAAATATTAAAACTTTATTAATCCAAAAATTCAAAAGATTTTTATAAAACATCTTTTTTATATAATGTATAACAGAGAACCAGTAAAAAGTTTTTTAGTTTAGTTATCCTTTAACTAATAATGTATAAAGACAAGTTAGAATAATAGATAAGACTTCTTTAAAGTCAAAGTTATAATAATTTTGGTCAACCTTTTTTAATTCCAGCCAACTTTATATTAATCCTGGCCAAAGCATTAACGCTAATGTCGTAATTTAGAATTTCGACCGCCTTATTCTTAATGAAAATCAAAATAGTAATGTTTGAGTTTAATAAATTCACTTAGGTAATTGAGATGACACCACAATTTTTAATATATTTATCGGATTCGCGGTTACGCCTTTTTCGCTAATCATTTCGTAAGAGAATTCACACAATAAAATGTCTCAAAACGTTCAAGGCACAAAGGATCCGCTCAATCCAGAGGAGCTACTGTTGACACTTGAAAGTATATTGCTTGCGAATGCTAAGCAGGAAAATTTGGAATCTATTCTTCGATCCGGTCAAGATGCATTAGCTTCCATGTTTCACGCTATAATGCAGTCATTGGGTTTTCGACTAGTCGGACTTGGTGAAAAAGATATTCCTGGTATACATTCTATACTTGTTTGTTAGGTAGTCAAGTTATATTATATTAAGCGATGCTTAAATGTTTTAGGGGACAATATAAGTAGGGATGGAGAGGGTAACCTAATAGGACTTCCGGAAACTTGGAATTCGCATGGTCCACATTTATATGCCTTTCGCTATAAACATCATCAGTCTTCAGTAACATTTTTAATCAAATGCATCACAATGGCCAACAATTTCTTAGTCCATGGAATGGGAATTGAGGTAAGAATCCGCGATTGGGATTCCCACGCGTTCCAAATGTTTTATACTAACATTTACTTTTACAGGATAATCAGGAAACCTCCATTAAACCAACTCATATTGAATTAATTACGGATGATTACACTTCTCCTTCCGCTTTTCCTTATATTGTCAGGAATCAACACTCCGAACCACTCGTAAATGTATTTATATCAAAAAGTCGTATCAAAGATTTGGTTAGTCTTTACAAAATCAACATAGTTCAGAAATTGATGCCAAACCTGACCAAACCTGGATATGAGGAAACGTATGTACGGCTTCTAATGCATCTGATCATTTCAGTTATTATTCTTAAAAAAAATTTTTTATTGATGCAAATGTAGTATGACCGCCACCGCACAATCTAACTCCAGACATCCACAGTCCAGTTCAGATGATCCACTGCGAATTCCCCTACGCCAACCTATGCACTTCCGGCCACCAATTTTCGGCGAACCTTATAGCGGCGATGAACCATTAAAGTATCCAATCAGTTTACAATGATGGTTTCTAGAATGCTATCTTCAAAAAAAATATTTTGATAAATCAAATTTAAATTTAGCTATAATCCTTTGAGCATCGGACGAGATGATCTCGACCCACTGGGTTCAAATCCGATAATGGGGCCACCAAGGTTCTAATTTTTATTTCAGTGTAGTTCATGAGGTTTTTCAAATATTGATGACATTTTTTTCTTTTTTTTTTTTAAAAAAAAAATTTAGATTTGGTGGCGGTGGCATTCAACCTTTTGGCGGACCCAGTCGAGGTGGTGGTTCGATTATGGGTCCAAATCACCCGATATTTGATCCGCGAAATCAGGGTCGTGGTGGTAATGGACCACAATTCCTTCCTAGGTTGGGATAAATTCATCTTGATTTGTCAACATGTATATTTAGTTCCGTCTCATCATTTGAAGAAACCTCCAAACCTTTTTTTAGCGGATCCGTCCCACCTGGTGCAAGGTACGATCCTGTTGGACCATTTGGTTCTTTGCCAGGTCGCGGTCGTGGCCGTGGAGACAGATACTTCAGGTAAATTAAATTATTCGCCATATTGGAGAACTCGTACTTCGTCTCTATTTAAGTGTATTTATTAAAATTTGATCAGTGGCGAACCGAATAATGATGAGCTACCACCGCCTGTGAGTCAGCGAAAGCCTTTTTTTTTTTTTGTGTGTTTTCCTTTTCTCTTTCTCGATCGAGAATCATTATTACTGATCATATGACCATTAAAATATAGGGTTACAATGATATGTTTATGTGAAAGAAACAAGCTAATTTTGTTCAGGAAGATGAATCGGTAAAGATATTTTGCTGACTAAAATCGTAATGAATTGTCAACTACTTTTTGTGTTGCTCCAAATTTCCCTTGACATCATCAAGTTCTTTTGTGATTTTTTCCATCTTATTCTTGTACAAGACCAATTGTTCTTGAACTTTTTTGTAAGCCTCATCGATTTTACGAAGTTCATCTTGTTCTGCTTGCAGACCTGCAAATGAGGTTAAAATAAGAATATTAAGATTCCGATATTAAATGAAAATGGCTATTCATATATGTGAAAATCGTTCTTTTACAGAACTGTAAGGCATATTTGGAGAGGATCTGAGCGGGAGAGTTGGTATGGGATGTTGTGTCAATATTTGGTACAATGCTTCCGAGGGATCAGTAAATACCTATTTGTCAATTGGTTAACTGTTAAAAAAAGTTTAGCGCGAAATCGATAAAATAAAATCGTTGCAGTACCAATTCATCATATTGAAAACTTTGAACCGGCTTGTTTCTGTTCACAGTTGAGATCGAACCGTCCTCCTCGTAGGGATGAAGGCGAAGATTGTGATAAAGGGAAACCGGTTTTTCACCGGGTTCAACAAATTGCAGTTTTATTGAAAGTTCGAATTCTCCCCAGCCAGTCTCCGTGATCTCGAATGGTGGTTGTTCAACGACTATAAAAGAGGGAGGAGATTGGTAAGACAAGACTTGCAGCGAATGAAGCAAAAATCCCTGTAAACAAACAAGTGCCTCTTTGTGGATTTGAATAAGTTTCGTGCAACTTGAAGGTGACTTTTTTAACGAAGTGACTTATGTCGGATCCGTTTATCCCCCTTACTGAGACGGTCCATTTATGCGTGTGATCAGAATCGGGAACTTTTTTTTGCGGTAGTAAAGTTGCGACATTTCCATAAACTATAGGATAGACCACGGTTACACCCTGATCGGAAGAGAGGGCGAATCAGCGAACTAGTAGACTCAGCATCTACTACGATAGCGCAACATACCTTTGTTCTCTTCGATGACATTTTCGCTTCAAAGGAAGGTATGCGTATTTCTCGGGTTCATGAGAATCGCGCATCACAAGATCTTATTTATGCACGTTGTGTTTGTGCGTCGGGTATTGAGTTTTGTATATGATGATTACACAAACACAAACATTGAAAGAATTTTTTTTTAATCATGCAACATCTCTGATCGGCATCGACTGTTTTTTCATTTTGAAATAATGTTTCGTGCGGTCGGCCGTTTCAATCCAGTTGCCTTGAAAAAGGTTGTTCACAGAAATGCATCCACTACTTCGGTTCCAGCAATTACAGATATAGAAAGAAAATGGAAGTCACTTTCTACCGATGAGCAGAATAGCCTTTCGAGGCAACTTGAAGAAATCCAAAAGCAAGACTGGAACAAGATAACCGTCGAAGAAAAAAAAGCCGGTACACATAATTCTCTTACTCCGCAATTTAGTTTTATGCACCTTTAATAATTTCCAAAATGAAAACTTACGCTTTATTTAGCCTATTATATTTCTTTTGGCCCTCACGGCCCAAGGGAGCCGCTGACAAAGCCGGGCCACGTGAGTAAGGTGATTGCAGGAATCGGTATTATTGTTGCTATTTCTACCGGGATTTTTTACTTGACCCGAGCATCAGGTAAGCACGCGTATTTACATCATTGTCATTGTGAGGATGTCGAGGAAATTCACATTCCAAATTATGAAATTTACAAGTTTCCGAAAGACCTGTGACCCTTACCAAAGAATGGCAAGAGGCCACTAACGAAAAATTGCGCGGCCAAAATGCCAATCCGATATCCGGTTTGTCTTCCGAAGGATATAAGGGAAAGGGTTATGTGACCGAGAAATGATAAAGAAGACCGCCATTACACATTCAAACAGACAAATTTTAATAAATTTTTACGGCATTATTATGCTCGAGCAATAATTTGCACACATTAATGACGTTTTACACTATTTTAATACAAAATACAAATTTTTAGTACAAAATGGCTTCCCATATTTCTCTTACGTTTTTCTTTTCTTTTTTCTTTTATCTCAAATACCGACAAACACGGGGACCAATTTCCACTTCTTTTCTCATCACGCGCCAACCTCCGGACAATCTCTGCGAATATGACCTTCCTGTAATGTAGGTCACGCAATAAGCTCGATAAGCGATCGGTAAAAAAAGATGATAATTCAAATCGATTGAAATATACCCGCTGACAATTATAACAGATTTTGGAGCCCTGCGCTTGATTACAACTTCGGCTGTGGTGTCCGAGCTGACCACAGTTGTAGCATTTCGTTGTGGTCTTTGAGCAGTCACTGAAAAGAAGCGTACATATGTCACATATCATTATAAATCTATCTAAGGTTATTTTAACTTAAACTTGCCGTTGAAGATGGTCGTATCCTGGAAAGTGGAATCAAGTTTAGTAAATTCACTTGGAACCAATCATCTCATAATATCATTTGACATACCGCCGCAGTTGTAGCAAGATTTTCCAGAGTTGTAATCATCATACCCATTGCGGCAATTGCGCGCGATATGACCCATCTAGTGGATTGAACAAATATATAAAATAAGCGAAAGAAATTACCGGAAAAAATCAATTTCCACACCTACCTTTCCACACTGTTACGCATAGAGATTTTTTACGAAATTTAATTATATGGTTAATGAGAGCACGGGGAATTTACAAATTCTTCAAAAATCATTTAAACGACGAGCCTTGTGGCACGAACTGCTACGCGAGTAATCATCCCCGTAACGGTCATTCATAGTGCAATTTCGAGAGATATGACCGATCTATTAATTAATTCGTCCGAATTTTATGAAACGTTAAAGGTATGAAATAGAAATTCCAATTTCCATACCTGTCCACACTATAAACATAATAAACAGTAATTTCACTGTTAGCTTAATGAACCGAAATATTAAATATGTATCTTTTTTTTTTTCTAATACGCACTTTGTAGCACTCATCGCCGCTACCTTCGCCGCTTTCCTCACAATAACGAGCTATATGACCTATCTTTTTTTTTTTTTTTTTTTTTTGCGATAAATCTCTTATAAATAAAGAACACACCGAAGTCTTCCGTGAAATATTAAGCGCCGAACACAGAAAATACCTTGCCGCACTGAAGATATTAAATGTGATCAACCATGATCGTTATACACATGACATTCCTGGTGAAAATCATCCGCATACCTTGTAACATTCGGAGTTCGACCCTCGTGTGCCGCGATGGTCCGATCTGTAGTCGTCGTACGTGTCGCTATAATCGCAATTCCGAGCTATGTGTCCTCGCTGCACACATTTCGTGTTAGTATCACGTGAGTGGGAACGAGGGAAAATTACCGTAACGCACCTTTCCGCACTAAGTGAGATGGAGCTTAGTTATTGACGAATTTGCAAAAGAAAAAAAAAATTTTTTTTCAAGATGAATTTCGAACCTTGTAACATTCGGTTGACGTTCCCGAACGACAATCGCGACTCTTGAATAAAAACATATAGGCATATATTTCTTGAGATCCGAACTCGAAAGCACTCCTTCCCTTATTTGACATACCAAATGACCAGACAGTCCACAATTGTAACACTTCTTTTCTTTAGGAGACTCCGTGCATTCGCGACTACGATTGATCGCAAGGTTAATAATGACCCGGGCCCACCAAGTTCGCATGTTTCAATTTGACCATACCTGAAGTGCCCTTCGTTCCTATTATTATTATTATTATTATTATTATTATTATTATTAAATGCTATTGTTAGTAAATGTCGCGTGACCTTGGAGGTCCATCGAAGAGGAAAACTTGTACGTACCCGCAGTTATAGCTAAAAATTGGTTTTGAAATGATGAATGTTTTAGTTCTCGAAAAAAGGGGCGGGCCGAGTTACTTACCACAGGGCACTAGATTGAGGGCAGTCCCGAGCCAAATGTCCAGCTGAAAGAGCACGCGAAGGTTGAGTAATCGACGACGTAGTAATAAAAAATGAGAATTTTATTCACGCAGCATTGTTTATTTACGTTCACCGCATTTGTAGCAACCGCTAGCTCCTCGTCCTCCTCGGCCCGACATTTTTTTTTTTTGTGTGATAGAGAGAGAGGTTTTAAAAAAAAACTTTTTTTGAATTTATAATTAGGATTTCCTTATTTATTATTTATTATACTTTAATAGGGTATAAAAATGAGGTCATCGATTATCAGGCGGAATTATAGGATGGTTTTACAGTAGGATCGCCTGCAATTTATATTCAACATGTGGTTCCTCTATTACTGCTAGGTGGTCAAATTATTTTGGGTATAATATAGCCGAAAAAAAAATTAACTTACAAGGGCGATAAGACAAATATAACAATTCATAGCGTGTGTGAGAAATGAATTTACAATGACAAACGAGGACAGAGTAAAGGAACAACGACGCATGTGGGGGATCAAAGTTGATCAGTCGTCAATAGTGTCGGACGCAAGACCCGTGAAAAGAACTAGGCTCGAGCAAGATGCCAGCAATAGCTATGGCGGTTCACTGCCTCTGTCACCCTTCGGACGTCCGATTGTTGATAGAGGCCTTCCGCAAATCTTACGTCCTGGTCCAGAAGTTTTCACGGTTTCCCCAAGGCCTTCTTCGTGCGACGATGAACGTAACACCCTGAAATTCAATCAGGAACTTCTTAACAATTTCGGTGGGACTCTGAGTTTATCTCCAAGCACGAATTCCTCCCTCTCGACGCCCAACTTTCAGCAACGCTTCATCCTCATGTCGCCCGCTTTCAAAGCCGGTCAAATCATCGATCCCGTCAATTTTTCGCCCGAAGCAAAATGCTTACCTTCAACCGTCAGCGCGCATAGTTTACAGACCCAGCGCATTTCACTTCCGGAAACCAGCGCACCCAAGGAAACTATTGTCATCGACTTGACCAAGAGTGATGATGATGATGATGATGGGGATGATGATGATGATGATGATTGCATAATCAACGAGGATGAAACAAATAGGAATTTATGTTGGGGGATGATCGAGACTTTAGCATTGATCCTATATGAGAGGCGCAACGGCGGTCACGAGGAGGAGGAGGAGGTGCAATTGAAGAGGGAAGTCACGGCAAAAAATAAAGGTCAATATAGTCAATTTACAAAATTACAAATCAGATTCCGATTTTCGTTGCCAGTTAAAGACGCATAATTTGTAATCACGAACATGGTTTGATTTTTTCAGCTATGATTCGGGTGACCAAAGACGGTGAGCCGGTGAGTTTGCGATTTGCGCTTAACAAAAGTTTTTTTCGCGGGGTCACTGTTTTTTTTAATCATCTTTCTGTTGGTTTTCAAGTTTGGCGTGGTTAAACAAGAGATGGCTAATGTGTTGGCACCGTTGATGGATGAGAAACTGATTTGGACGGAAGCATTTATTCGAAATTCTGCCAAGGTAAATTCCATCCCCCGAAATCTCCCTACTTTGTAATGAATGATTCTTTTTTTTTTTTTTTTTTTAAAAAAAAAAAAAAGAATCATTAATATGCATAAATGCATGCATGCATCGCATTCCATTCTTACATACTCACACATATGTCTATGCGTCACCTTTTTTGTTGCAGGAAATGATGATTCCTCTTAGAATCATTATTTATGGCCCTCCTAAAAACACAGAGGCCATAAGCACACATCTGTACGAACGAGGCGTGCTTCTGTCCAAACCCGTTGTATTCAATTGCGCCACGCGATACCTGAATCCACATGACCCACCCCTCAGAGGTTCTCAATTGAGTAAAAAAAATGCGCCTGGTTCCTACGGGGATCACTATCATGGAGGTTCGAGCACGACCACCACCAGGACCTCGAAAGAAACGAAAAATCAGATAGACAAGGTTTTCAATTCACTGATGAACGCTGAGAATATTCCGGAGGAACAACCTGGCAAGAAATTCAACGATTCCCTTTATTCTTAATTTTGAGTTGACATCGCGACTAACCTTTATTGTCTTCAGATCCTCGCCTAATAACACCCTTGTACAAGCATCAAAAACAAGCATTATATTTCCTCTTGGAACGTGAAAAATATAATGACTTCACGGACGATGAGACCAACGCGTTGACTTCTCTCTGGCGCACCAGAACAAGCGCCGGTCGTCTCACGGTGTACTACAATGTGGTCACAAATGATGAGACAAAGAGCAAGCCTGTTCAGATGAGGGGTGGCATTGTCGCCGATGACGTGAGTGCATTCTGTCGAACACTCTCGATTTATGCATCCTCATTAATGATGACAATAATTTATTAACTAATTTACACAGATGGGACTTGGCAAAACCATACAGATCATTGCTTTGGTTCTCGGCACTCAGAAGGAAGCAATCGAGTTTTCTCAAAGATCCTCTTCCTGTGACTCATTTTGCGCCATCAATATTAATCAAAGTTCCGCGCAATCAAAATCGGACTTTGGATTTGATGTGCCAACAATGAAATCTCGAGGCACCTTGATCGTGTGTCCATTGTCAACAGTGTCTAACTGGGAGGATCAATTAACCCATCATGTCCAACAAGGTTCCTTAAGCTTTTATGTGTACCACGGGGGGGCACGAATTTCCGATCCTTCGTTGTTGATAGATTACGATATTGTGATTACAACGTACAACGTATCGGGGTCCGAGTTCAGTCGGGAATCAAAAAACAAGATACCTAGCGCATTGCAGAGGATCCATTGGTTTCGGGTCGTGCTGGATGAGGCGCACATCATCAAGGACGTTGCCACAATACAGAGTAAAGCCGCGTGTTCGTTAAAGGCAGAACGTCGGTGGTGCCTGACGGGGACTCCAATTCAGAACAAGTAAACCCTTTTGGTCTTTCTGTGCTGTTGGCAGACTATTCGCCTCAATCATTCTGATATTCGATCTCATTATTCAGGGCGGATGACCTTTTCGCTCTTGTCAAATTCTTGCACATGGTTCCATTTAACATCAAGGAAAATTGGACCAGCTACATATTACGCCCGATTAGATCATTTGATCCTGTTGGTATAAGTCGACTGCAAACTCTCATGAAGTGCATCACTCTTCGTCGGACGAAAATGATTAACGGCAAGTCCCTACTATCGTTGCCCCCAAGAAATGACCACATACGATATCTCGAATTGAGTGAATACGAGCGTAGACTATATAAGATGCACTTTGCGCAACTTAAACAGTTTGAACGCTTGGAGGAAAATAATATAATGCGACACTATGCGAACATTCTACAGTCGCTGTTGAGACTGCGTCAGATATGCGCCCATTTTGCCTTAGTAAAGGAGACTGAATTGCGGGGTAATTTTGAGGTGGAGAATGGGGCCAGTGGTTTGACCTCGTCGAAAGCGATGACAATACTCAACGTCTTCAAAGAAAGCGGAATGGATCAATGCGGATCCTGCATGCAGGAGTTGACCCAGAGATCTGTTGTGACGAAATGCGAACATTTGTTTTGTATGGAATGCGCTGCAAGAGTTATGAGTGAAATATTAAATTTTGGAAGTGATAAAACTGTCGCTTGTCCTTTATGTGGACTAGAATTAGGGTCATCTGATGTTATTGAGGTCAGTGACGATGTTATCGAGGTCAGTGACTCGAAAGACTACGAGGATCATCTCTCAAGGGCCAACCCAGACAGGAACTCGCACAGCACCAAGGTTAAGGCTTTGATCGGAGATTTGGTTCAAGCAAAAATCGATGGAATCAAAAGTGTGGTGTTCTCACAATGGACTAGAATGCTGGATCTAATTGAGGTTTGCCCGATAGCTCCTTTATTCTCATTATTCCATGTTGCATTAGCACGTTTGGACGGTGGGCATTGATAAATAAAATTTGTTTGGTAAAGGATGCCCTGATTGAAAATAATATAATGTTTACCCGATTGGATGGTGCCATGACTCGTGCCGAGCGTACACAGAATATGGAGACTTTTAGGAAACAGGATGACGTTGGTGTAATCCTTATATCGCTAAAAGCCGGAGGCGTCGGGTAAGAACCGAATCAACACGTCGACTCTTCCACGTCGTTTTCTTTTTCCCTTTTAACGTGATTCAACTTCCCTTTTTATCCGCACGCAGGTTGAATCTAACGGTCGCCCAACGAGTGTATCTCATGGATCCTTTCTGGTAAAAAAAAAATCGTTCTTTTGGGTCGCGTGAAAAATGAAAAAAAAAAAAATTTCTTTTTCTTCATTTTCTTGTGTCAAAATTCCCGTTTATTCGTGTCTTCAATTTTCAGGAACCCTTCGGTAGAAAATCAAGCGATCGATAGAATTCATCGTTTAGGTCAAACCTGTACCGTGGATACATTCAGGTTCATCATTCGGGTAGGTTTTTTTTCGTGATAAATAATTCTCGCCTTCCATCATATTTTTTTTCCCCAGTGCATTGATGTTTAATTATTTGCGTAAAAAGGATTCGGTAGAAGAAACCATCTTGAAATTACAGGAGCGTAAACTTCAGCTTGCAGAACTGACTCTCTCTGAAAAATTGAGCAAACAAGAAATCACGAGAAGAAGAATAGAGGACCTGATATCTTTATTTAAATAATCAATAATAATCCTTTAATCGTTGGTAGACGGTGGTCAGCCATCCTTAGGCAAAACCTCTCTCCCATTACATAATCAATCATTGATTATTAGAATAGAAAAACAAAAAAAAAAATAATTCTTTCGGTATTTAAGGTACGGCGAGTTTCTATGTCGGGCTAAAAATTTCTTCCTCTCGAGTAATTTTGAGAACGCGAATGATTCCATTATGTTTACACTAACAGACGATTGGTTATCGTCACGCTATAGTGAATCATGAAATCAGCCACGTTATCGATCTTGTAGCTAAAGATTTGTTTTAACGAAATCTAAAATCCATAAAGCACAAAAATTTGGTAAAAAAAAAAAAAAGTGGGAATTCGTATATTATTCGCGTAACGGGTCGCCAGCAAATTGATCGATCCCCGAGCCTGTAAAAAAATCTGAATAATTCAACCGCGTTAGTATACAAGCATCGATGCGAAAATCAACTAAATTTTAACATCTCTTATTACCACAGTTCTACCGAGAATAAGACGTGCAGTATATCCGGAAATTTAAACTTGTAAACGAAATAGAACTTTATCAAGAATATGTTTATTTTATACTTTTTAATCTAGAAATGAATAAATTACAATATAAATTTTATAAATATTTGAAAAGCAATTTTGAATATTAAAAAAAAATGAGTTATTAGTAGAGGTACACTGCGTGAGAAACCATGAAGGTTGTTACCGTTGCGGATGAATAGAAATTTTTTTTTAGCGATACTAATACCATAGATGCACGCGTTGGCCGTCAAATTACTAAACCCCAAAGGGAAAAAAGATTTGATAGTTTGACCGCCAAAGATTTAGCAAGCTAAAAGTACTAGATAAAGTGTACCAAAAAGGAAAAAAAGGAATTTCAGCAAAAAATAAAAAAAAAATAAAAAAAAAAATAAAAAAATAAGAGAAACATAAAGTAATTTAGAATAGAGAAATTACGAAGCTAAAAAAAAAAAAATATATAATTTTTTTTGCGAATAACAAGGACTTTAAAAAGTTCGAATCGCGTTTGAAGAATGAGTAAGAGCAATTTAATATATTAGAATAATAAATTCGAAGGATTGACTGAAAGCAGAGATACTCTCCATATTCAGCGAAAGCAAACGTATAGCGCTTCGAGCTATACGTAAAGAAGTTTTATTCCTGCCCAAACCCTACAGTCTCCTCGACCGCTAATGTCAGTTTGGATACCAATCTGTCATTAACATTTAAAAAAAGGTCATGAGGAATTGACATGAATTGACATGAACAAAGCAGTGCAAATATTGCAAGCGAACTTTGGAATTACTTACGTTTCATAATTCTTATATTGCGGTAAGTCTATGCGGTTAAAACTGCACATAAAAAAAAAAACAAACAAAACAATATATACCATGGATAAGTTATGTCGGGAAAGATATGGCTTAAAAAATAAATTGACTTCACGCTAACCAGGTATGACTTTTCGGCAACTGAGTGATATCGCCCGCTTTTTCTATGGTAAACCGCCGAGGCCCATCGCTTCCTTGTAAATCTTTGAAGCCATTGACAGGGATTCGAGATGTACCGGTGGCGAATTGTAGTAAACGGGATTTCTTTTCGGAGTCCCATGATCGTACACACTGCGGTGGAATGACGATGATCAAAAAGGATTTCCCACCGCAAAGCTTGCATAACGGAACCAGAACAAATGTACAAACCTTCCAGAACCACTGTATGACATCGTCTGATTCTGTGTACCCTCGGTAATCGGTGTGTTTTTTCCAATCATCGACGTCAATTTCAGCGATGCCTCCAATAAGTAACTGGAATTATAATGGATAATTTGTTTCAATCATGGTATTTCCAAGTCCAAATATGCCATGGATTTTTCCTGCGTAGCGATTTTATTAACGGACTAGTACGAGACTCGTATTGAACTATTTATTGGTTCAAGAACTCTCTTTAAAAATTTTTTTTCTCTCACCTCTAATTCTCGCTCGTCAAAAACGGAGATCAAATCTTGCGGTATGAGTTGATTGAAGCCTTCCATGAAGGCCTTAAACTGTTCTTCGATACGCTTTGAAATGCGCCATTCGGTAATAAGACTAGGTGAACGCAAGATTAATAATAAATTCGTCCCTTGAAAAACAAAAATTCTTAATGATCACGTTTAACACCTACTCGATATATTCCTTTTTGTTTTCTTCTGTCACGGGGATATCTCCACCCTTCTCTTTCAAGTCAACTGTCACCACTTCACCAAATCGATCATCCTCAGTAGAGAACGTCAAATCCAAAACGTCCGTAATGTCATTTTCCCTGAATTATTAAAAATATGAACACTATCTAAAAATATATCGTTACGTAAAAACGACTAGATGTTCTCAGAAGAACTAGTGCACATACAAAGCCCACGTCAAACTTCTATAGAAATCTGCGTCCACGCTTTCCATATCCTGCAGGCCGACCTTTTTCCTTAAGATCATTTTGTAGAACGATGTAATGAAAAATGCGTCTAAAAACCGACGATGAAAAATAGCAAGCCCGACTACCCGTCCAATGAATTTAAAGTAGTTAAGGTGTTCAGGATTGATTCCCGAGTGAGGATTAATTTGAAGGGTGTAATTGTCATGAGCAGAGTATTCGAAAAGGCAATAGAATGGATTAAACATTTCATGTGAAAGAAGGAAAAAGAATTCCCTAAAATGAGAAGAAAATTTTTGCAAAATGTCAAAAGACTTGATTAAAGTAAGAAAAGGAAACCTTGGCTTATTATAAATACCTCGATAAACCACCATAATCTAATCCATCTTCACCATCAAATTTAATCATTAGGCGTTTTTTTAGATCCTGGGGTTGTTGTCTCATGATTTCCGAGTAGGCATCTTCAAAGATGAAATTCCGTCGAACTTTGATGTGACACTGACCAGGTACAGGTCGAAGCGCCGGCTGAGATCTGAAATATATAAGTTTCCTACGGAAATCTCGCTTGTATTGAGGCACATTTTGGCTTTATTGTAAAGAAAAAAAAAATCAACACCTGTTAAAAACAAAAGCACCCGACTCATAGAATAATTAATCAAAAAATTTACATACTCTAAACTACTAGGCAACCGAGGATCGTCCCAAGTGGTTGTTTTTGTATTATGATCCACGAAATACACCCTGGCCGTATTTGTTAACCGCATTTCCCACCCAGAAGGTAGCGGACCTAATTGAGATACAGGTTGTTGTTGAACGGTTACACTGTTTTGATTTCCACCATACATTCTGATGTATTGCTGTCTACGAGGGTCCACCCAGGTTGTTGTTCTAGTATTGTGATCAACAAAATATGGTCGACCTTCAGGTGTTGTTCTTTGTTCTTCAATTAACAAAAAAAAAAAAAAAAAAAAAAATCAGACATAAGTTTCTTTTCTAGCATACACATATAATATATATGCAGGCTTCAATATTTCATTTACATACCCCATCCAGAAGGCAACGGACCATAGCCAGCCGTCGTGGCTCCGACATGTCCAATAGGTGCAAAACCATTTGTAGTAGTGGTGGTGCTTGTGGATGCTTCACCTTCTGAACCTGAGACAGATGTTGAAGAGGTACTGCTGGATAAAAAGGAAGAACCAGATGGTCGCTCTTCAGGGAGCGTTCGGTTATTATGCCGACGACGCTCCAACTCTGTTATATTTTGATGCTCTTGTAATCGCTGAGTAGCTGTTGCACTCATCGATGGTCTTGTCCAAGTGGTTGTACGTGTATTGTGATCGACATAGTAAGTACGACCAAGATGATCAACTCGACGTTCCCAACTGAAATGATGCATCAGATTAATCTGTTAATTCGAATGTCTTACAAAGAAGAGATTAAAAAATTGGCAATTTACCCAGGTGGCAATGGACCATATTGGTCTTCGAAGGAACCAAATGTACGTACACCCGAACTGCTCCCGGACGTTACGCTGGGTCCCGCCACAGGAATATTTTGAGAACTAGATCCTACTGTGGGAGTTGAACTGCTCATACTTGAAGGTCGCGAGTTCTCAGCAATGGTCCTCTGACTTAAATGAGAAGAATCGGAAGTAGTGATACTATTTGTCATATTGTCTCTCACTCCTGGATGGGAAGGTGGCACATTTACATTTGTGGATAGGTTTACAATGAGTTTCCCATGTACAACTTCATTTGCATTTGACTTTTTCAGATCTTTCGTCAACATCCCTATTTGAATCAATAAATTTTTATAATTACATCAAACGATGTCAACTGCGCAAATAAAATAAAATAAAATAAAATATAAAGCTCATCCCTACTTACCATCGCCACCAATACTAAGATCATCAAACACTTCGCTTATTTGAATGTTGATCACACCCAAAAATCCTTGATCCTTCTTTTTAAATTTCTTTTGGTCGAAAATTTGAACGGCAATTACACTTTGATTTGTTACTTGTCTATATAAATTCATGCCAACCGTAGATCGTTAACCATCACAAGACGAACACTTTTACCGGACAGAAATAACCAAAATAGGATCCACATACATGTCAAAACTTTCATTCCAGTATGGGTTCAAGCTTCTCTTGATCACGGAAGTAGTATGTGTTTGTTCGCCATCAACTGTAACGACTGCAAAAGGATCCGGCAATCCTGTTATGCAGACATATTTAGAAGTAGTCTAGGTTATGAGTATGTTAAAATCTTGTAAAGAGACATTGCTGAAGCTACATACGAAATACATCTCTCTTATATAGGCCATCTGCCGCAATAACTATAGATAAAAGGAAATATTAAAATCAATATACTTATGCCATCTGGTGAACCGCATTCCGCGAGAAGCGGACCTTCTCACGAACCTGTCAAGCGTATTTTCCTTCTGAAGTTTGATGCGTTAGGTAAATTATTGGTTTTGCGGACGACAAATTAAAGAAAAAACGATTATTCCAAAGGTCACAAATAACAAGGGAATTTCACAAATGGCAATCATACTAACGTTTGTTGATTTGACGACATTGTCGTTAAGTGGCACTTCCACTATGGCAACTCTTGTATAGTTTAAAGTAAATATTTTTGCAGAGAATGAATATAAAGAATTTTATTTAGAACAAGTTCACCCTGTGGCTACTCCTGTTCCATCAACTCCGCCTAAAAATACCTCACCAAATTATGACCAATCAATTCCTACAGGCCATTCCCCTAATGGAAATCCTCATGCCTATTATTACCGTCACGTGACTCGAATTACTACGTAACCTTCATATGGGTGTCATACGCACTATGGATTCAAAGAAGTTACACCGTATCACGTGATTGGCTCAATTTCGACCAAAAAAAAAAAAAATTTTTTTTTGAAACTTTAATTGCATTGACAATTATTAGATTATTACATGCATTATTAAAACAAGATACTTGGAATTATAAAATTCAAATCTTTGTTCTTGGCTAAAAGGAAAATTTAATTCTTTTTATTTTAAATAAGGATTAAATTTAATTTATCCTTTCATCCTTCTTAGTACAAGTAAACATTCGTATTATTAAAAAGTGTCATAATTTAAGTTTGAAATTTTTTATAAAAATATAATGCAGATTACTTTTAATTAAATGAATTTATCTATTTACATTTCTTTATCAATAATTTTTTTTCAGATTCTTACATATCTTTTTTATGGTCGAAACAAGAGCTTGAATAAAAATTGGATCACTTGATCGAATGTTCGGTTAAGAATTTCCGATTCCTCAACCGGAAATCATAACTAAACCGTAACAGTAGTGATACCTAATTTTGATTAGATTGCACATCACCATGTGTTATAATTGAATTTCGATATAGTATATTACAATAATGATAATAAATATTGGCATCATGATATTTCTATACTTGAACTAGTACTTTTTTTGCTTGCCTCATCACCTAAATCTAGGTCGTTTTCATCGCACAGAGTACTACTGGCAATTTCAATTTCAATTTCACAATCAGAATTAGAAGAACCGGTCCTATCATGGTTTGCAGAGTATCTATTGCTGGTGAGAGAAGTCATCACCAAAGGGTTCCCATCTATCGAATTATAGTCATTCTTAATATTATTAACTACGTAATCCCATCTATTAAAACATTCATAATTAATCTTTGGTAAATAATCCCAAGCGAACCAAAATGATATCACCGCATAAAATCCACCACCCACTAAATCAACCATGTAATGATGCGTCAAATACATGCAGGCCCACCAAATCCAAAGTACGTAAGTGAAACAAAATGGTCGAGTTTTTGGTGATATGTAAGAAATAAAAAGGGCTTGAATTATGGCACAGGCAGAATGCAAAGAAGGGAATGCCCCGAATACCATAGGAGATCCTCCAAACGTTGACGAATAAGTACTTGAATTAAATAATTCATCAATGCGCGCCAAACCACCCGGATCGCCTGGCATCGAATAAGACGCAGGAGTGTTCATTCCATAAATATATTCATACCCTTAGAAGGAATTGATAATAAGGTTAAAAATTCGATCGCAAAAAGAAAAATATATATACATCCAAATACCCACAGGGAGGCGAACAAGGAAACGCCAGTTGAGTCAATACGCCTGCTAGATTCATATAACCGAATGCTCTAGAAAATACCGCCAATATCCCGGGAGGGCCAAACCACCAAAGACTCAAGCTAGTAAAAAACGGCAGCATAAAATGAAGCACACCATATGGAAGCCACGCAAGCACGTCTTTGATGACACTTGTATGTTTTGCAATAATGGCAGATAAATTGTCGCCATATAAAATATTTTCCAGTGCCGGTAATACAGATACGTAAATGTGAGGTCTGCTTGAGCCGGGTATGAATCTACATGAATAAAACAGTACCAGCCAACAGGCTATAGGAAGAAATGGTAAAAAAAATGCTCTCGAATTATGAAAATAAAGTCCAACTGCAAATATAAAAATTATTATTGTTTTTGCAATAAAACCTGGAAACTCGATAATATGAAAAAGAAATATACTAAGAACTAGAAGGAATACGTATTGAAGATCATACAATGACCATTTGTAATTATGCAAAGGTGAAATATATCTTTTTGTTATTTGTGCGGTGCATGACACCAAGTTTAAATTTTGGGGGGTGGAAGTCTCCGCAAATAAGGATAACATAGTTTATGCAAATACATTAACCCGATATCACGTTCGGTGAAAAAATTTTTCTTGACTTTTATACGTATGTATTTTTTTCATAGTCTAAATTATAGGGCCGATTACAATACGTACGCACCAAAATTTACCGGACTTTTCAATCAGATTTGGAAGTAATCAGCAGAAGACGTATTTATTTTTTAATCGAAAAAGGACTTTAATATTTTAAGAGCAGCCTTACTAAGAATATTATTATCGCATTTTCTCGGCAAATAGTACTTCCTTGTTAAAGCACCCGCGGGAGGAGTACTAATTAATTCTCAGGATCTAAAAAACGTGAGATCCGAAATCGACGATTAGATAACCCAGTAATATTTTTTTTATTGATATTAAGATTTGTTACTAGAACCTATCTTGATTAGTTTCTTCAAAGATCAAGAAATTAGTATATATTAATCTATTGATGTTATGATGTTATTCAATGAAAAATATCGAAATAAAAAAAAATTAAGAAAAGTTAGATTAGAAAAAAAAAGATGAAATATCCATTCTATTACTAACTATATTATTTTATATAGGAAAAAGACATGCTTGGTTTAAAAAAAAAAAAATAATAATATAGTTTGCTTCTTTTTTTAGGATCTCAAAGTTAAATATAAATATAATACTGTATAAATTTTAAAATAATTAAAATTAAAATCTTTGTTAATAAATATTAACTTATTTTATTTTAATAAAAATATATTAATTATAATATTATAAAATAAACAAAAAATTTTTTATCTATGGTTAGATCAATATAGTATGTTTATTAATCATTATGAAAACTGATAGAGATACTTAGGACAGTTGCATTATGATTAAATCAAATCTTATACTGACTCACTTGTTAATAGTTTTTAATTTTCAAAAGAGCTTTAGCCTTTAAGTATGATTTTGAGAACAATATTTTGTTTTATAATAGATTTTGGATAAATACTCTTCTAATTTACTTATTATTACTAACAAATTATCATTACTTATTATTTTTCAAGAAACCAATTTCAAGTAACTATAAAAAAAAATAGAAAAAAAAAAAAAAAATAGAAATATCTAAAAATATACAATTATGTTATATAAAAATAAAAACATTTTATATTCTTTAAAGAGTCTCTATTAGAAATCTTCTTTTATTAGAAATCAATTCTTCTGAAATATTTTTTTTCTTCCTATCATTTAAGAAACTTATTTATCTATAGTCTTAATTATTTTTTTGCAATTACTTAAAATACTTATTACTTACTTGGATCCAATATCTTACTCAATACTTTTTTTTTTTCAATCTTGATTTTGTATTCACTTGCATATAACAAAACAACTGATAATAGATTCCAAGTTTTTATATAACTTTTTAATCATATAATATAACTTCTAATTTTTTTTTGTGGAATATAAGCTCAGTCTTATTTATTAATATTAATAAAATAATTTACAAATTCAATTGTATAGATTACATATTTTTTATTATTTATATTAACAAACATTTCTAAAACCTTACTTTTAAAGGATCTACTGGATAACTTGTTATTCAAAAATATTTGATCAGATTAAATTTCTATTACTATCTATTTAGGAAATCTAAACATCCCTATTTTTGGATCTTCAATTTTTCTGAATCTCTCTCAATTAACTTACCAAGCTTAACTTGCTAATTCTATAAAAGGAGAAGTATATATTTTAGATAGTTCTTGATAAACTTATTACAGTTATCAGTTTTATACTTTTTTTAAATTTGTTTGTATTTAGTCATATTGATTGTACCTTTTATAGAAAGAAAAACCTGCTTAGAATCAAAAGTAAGAAAATTCTGTTTTATATGAAACTGAAATAAAGATGATCAGTATTTTCTTAGACCTAATTGTATTTTATGTTATAAATAGTTTTTTCCATTCTATAAATCTTTCATATAGCCCTTATATAATATTAAACTATAGATCTTGTAATTGCAATCTGAGAGCATTATTAATGTATTATAGATTCACAAGTCTTTATATAATTTCTAATATCTTTTAGCAGTCATATCTAGTTAAAAAAATTTTACTGATAATCATTTTTCATTATTTAAAAAGTCAATTTCCCAATAATTTTTTTGCCTTGTAATAGTGGAAAGGATAAAATCAGTGATGGGAATCCTAATTGATTACAATATTATTATATAACATCTAAGAAAATATATTTTCAATCTTAGAAAAGAACAATATCTCACATTCCTCTACTTTTTAATTTTATAACCTAACTGAAATAAGGAAATAATCTTATTTGTATACTTTGTCTAATTAGAATAATAAAAAGTTGAAAATTCAGCTTAAATAAATAATTACCTTTTCACCATTTAGAGAATTTAATGTTCATCTTAATAGTTTAATAATTTCTTCCCTTCAATTATATTTTATCTAAAGAAGTAGAGAGGTTCATATCAATGATTTTTCTTTCTTTCACTAATAGTATTATCAAAACATGTAATAGAAGCTTGCTTATATTCTACTATCAATATGTTTTGTATCAACCAATCACCTTTAGCAAAAATTGTATCAATTTTATGTTACTCCAAATTTCAAAGTCAAGTTGAAGTAAATAAAATTTTACAAAAACTTTGAAAAATAAGTAACTTTAAGAAGATAAAAACAGTAGAAAAGAAAGTTTTTAGGTTTAGACTTTTATTTGTCTATTTATCTACTGCAAAAAATCTCTAGTTTCACTTTTGTTTCAGGAATAGATTTTTAATACTTATTATTGGTTTTTTTTTCTTTTAAAACTTTCTTGCTATAGATAAAAAAGATGTTTTTTGACTTTTCTTGATTACCAAAAGTCGAGTTTTTGTTTGAAAAAAAATATAAATAAAAAAAAGAAGTTAGAGAAACTCTTAAAATTATCTTTCAAGTTATTTTAAGAAAAATAATAAGACTTTATTAATAAAAAAATATAAAACTTTTTTGCAAATATATTTTTTGTATATTATCAAAGAATTAATAAAAAGAGTTAGAAAAGTAAACTTCTATTATAAAATAAACAAAAAATTTTTTGAGGTATCTATAGCCAGGTTGGATTGTAATTTATTAATCAATTGAAAACATAAGTATATTTTTATTTGAGTAATATAATATATATTATAGTTAAACATTAATATTAAATCTAACTAACTCATTATAGATAATAATAGTTTTTAAGTTTGGTCTTGAGGACAATATTTCACTTTATAGTAGACTTTGGGTAAAGACCCTTTTAGTTTACTATTTTATTGCTAATAGATTGTTACTACTAAAAGTTCTATCAAGTCACTGAAATATAGGAAATTATAAAAGGATAGGTTGAAAAAAAAAAAAACAGTATATTTAAAAATATCCAAGTAAACTACAAAAAAATGAAAAAAATAAAATAAAATAAAATTCTTTAGCTTTCTCAAAGATCTGCTTCTCAAGACTTCTTTCAATAAGAAATATCCAATTGAGATATCATTTATCTCCTGACTATTTAAGAAACTTATTTATTCTTAATCTTGATTTCTTTTTTGCATACTATTTAAGAAGACTTATTATTTAGTAAAAACCTTTACTTCTAGAATACACTTGGTCCCAACTTTTTTTTACAATGATTTTTTATTCACCTGCAGTAGAGGAGTAACTTATGATAAACCTCAAATTTTTATATGACCCAGTAGAAACTGAGCTATATTGTTTCAATATAACACTTTTCAGCAGTCATATCTAGTTAAAGGAATTTTACTGATAAATATTTTCTATTATTCAAAAGTCAGATTCCCAAACAATTTTTTTGCCTTGAAATGGTAGAAGGATCTCAAGAGTGATAAGAATCCTTATTGATTACAATATCCTTCTACAACTTCTGGAAAAATATATTCTCAACTATATTAATG